TACATGCTTTCACAGTTACAGTAATTGTGTATTTCGTCAGCTTATTTAGGCTAATAATTTCAAAGAAAAAAAAGAAGAAGCAAAGGAATCGTATGATCAGGATGTTAAAATAAACAAAAATATCACCTTTCAGAGCAAACATTGATAAATATGTCCCAGCCATGTTTGTCACTTTGCGGTTCCCTTAACCCTCTGGCCCTCTTCGGTCATTTTTGACCGAAAAATTTTATATTTTGAATTTTTAAAAATCGTAGCTTCATCGGAATGAGATTACACTTGGTGAGTTTTGTCACATTAGCAATATGAACACAAAAAAATCGTGGACATGATTCGGATATGTTAAAGAGTCAAAAAATATCCAAGATCATGCCAAATCGTCAACAATCAAATCCAGCTAACCGAGTTAGCGATGTACATAGAACAGACCCCTGAACATGAAATACCACAAATAATTGAGAAAGAATCAATCAATTCAGGTAGTTCATAGAAAAAACACTCCTCACATTACTTTCCATGCATAAAACAAAGAATATGAATAAAGGTCCATTGACAAACAGGAAAGAAAGTCCTCAATAATAAAACCCCATAATAGTAATTTGCCCTTGCTTCCTTTGAGTTATCTACCTGTATAAAATACCTAACTAACTATACATTCATATAAAGGGAGATATTTGAAAAATATTATCTGTAGTCAGATAAGTCAGTCTAGCTAAGGACTTACTACAGCAACTAATGCCATTATAACATAGGTACATTTTTATATATATATATATATATATATATATATATTCTTCTTTTTTCGCTCTAATTATCGAGTATGGTACATGGATAAAGAGAAATACTGCCAAAATTTTCTCTGTAGTAAGTCAGTAGTGTAATCTAGTGGCCACTATGAACCTACTACAACCTTTGAAATATGAATATAACATTTAGGTGAATTATAGTGATTTTGTATGTTAAAACTCATTTGAATTAATGACAGGACATCGTTTACGTTTTTGCACTGTGGGTGGAAAATTCAGACGGTTCCTTTAGCAGCAGGCAAATAGTATTCGCTACAATGAGCATTAAATGAAACTGGGTCATAGAAGGACATAGAACCTTTACAATCCATTTATGTACTTTATGTGAATAAACCAACGGATGTATTTAGTGGATTTTACCTGTCCGCATCATTATGAACACATCCCTGTA